TCTCACAGGGGCCTCTCCACACCGCGGATTCCCCCAGAGGGAGGGATCCAAGGATGGGTGGCGGGGAGGGGCGGAAGCACGATGTCTTTTGCCTCAGCTTGGAAGTCAGGAGTCTTCCCTTCTGCCTTGTTCATTGTCACGTAGACCAACCCTAATACCCTGTGGGAGGGCTCTTCACACGGATGCAATTTCAGGAGAGGATCCTCGGGGCCCGTGGAGATGGCCGCCACAGCCCTCCAGTCCCACAGCCCCTCACCTCACCCTCCACCAGGCACTCCCTCACCCTGGGTCTCTCTCTCCCAGGCCCCGGCTGCAGGGGACCCCCAGGAGGTGACATATGCGCAGCTGGACCACTGGGCCCTCACACAGAGGACAGCCCAGGCTGTGTCCCCACAGTCCACAGAGCCCATGGCTGAGTCCAGCACGTATGCAGCCATTGCCAGACACTGACCCCAGGCCCACCTGACCTCTGCACCTGAGGATGTAAAGTCACTCTAGGAAAAGGCTGAAGCGGCCATTTGGAAGGCTTCCACTTGGACTCATCATCATCTGGAAAGCGAGTCAGGCAGCTGACCTGGAGACAAGAGCTGGAGACTGGAGATTTCTAACCAGCTTCCAGAAGGTTCGTTAGCCAGGTGGTTCCTTCTACAATTGAGCAGCTCCTTGGACAGTTTCTCAGTTGATTCCAGAGACCCAGTTACAGTTCCCTGGCTGTTTCTAGAGACCCAGCTTTATTCACCTGACTGTTTCCAGAGACCCAGCTGAAGTCACCTGCCTGTTCCAGAGGCCCAGCTACAGCCGTCAGGCTCTTTCCAGAGACCCTGCTACAGCCAATCAGCTGATTTCCTGAGCAGTGATGCCGCCTCCAAGCTTGTCCTAGGTGTCTGCTGTGAACCTCCAATGACCCCAGAGACTTAGCTGTAATTATCTGCCTTGTTGACCCTTAAAGACCTTCCTAGAAGTCAAGAGTTATCCTTGAGACTGCACTATACACACACAGCTGAGAGCCAAGCCCAGTTCTCTGGATCATGCTTTACTCTGTGCATCAATAAATAATTTTGAATACCTCACATCTGGCAACCTCAGGCCTGGTCCTGGGTGCATAGGTCTCTCGGACCCAGGCTCTGCCTTCACAGTTGTTCAAAGCTGAGTGTGGGAAACAGGACCTACAAAGGAGGTGTCAGCGTTTTCTTTTTAAAATTTAATCGATCAGGATTGTACATATTCAAGGCGTAAAATGTGATAATTCGTTATACGCATACATTGTGCAATGATAGCCACAGTCAAATTCATCAGCGCACCCACTACCACGGATATTAGACATTAGATATTCTGAATTTGCTCATCTTAGGACTTCCTGTTGGTGTCAGTGTTTTCTGACAAATCACGGGTATCAGGAATGAATGAGGGAGGTGTGGCTGGGTGAAGGCAGAGAGCTGACCCTACAGGTCCACATCTGTGCATACATGCACAGGAAGGCATGCTCTCACACACATGCGTACACACACACAGACATGCACACACACTCACACGCCTCAGGAAATCCAAGGAATCACTGAGCCTGCTGTTGGTTGAGGCATATCTGAGTATCAACCCTACCTGTAGGGTCAGACAGTACTCTCCCAAATGCGGATTGAAACAGAAAATTACCCTATGCAGCACTAGGAGGTGACAGAATCTTCATTTTGGGTTCATCTGTGTTTGTCTTTAAAAACACAAATAAGAAGGGCGGAGTGCGGTGCTCACGCCTGTAAATCCCGCACTTGGACGGCTGAGCGGGGCGATCACGCAGGGGTCCAAGGAAGATCCGAGGACCATTCCTGGGCTACACATGGTGAAACCCCGTCTCTACTAAAAATACCAAAACACTAGCCGGGAGTGGTGGCGACGCCTGTCAGTTCCCAGTTATCGGGAGAGGCTGAGGCAGGGAGAAGAGCGTGGAACCCGGGAGGGATAGCTTGCAGTGAGCCGAAATCAGCCCACTGGCACTCCAGCCTGGGCGACAGAGTGAGACCTGTCATCAAAACAAGAACAAAACAAAACAAACCCCAAAACAGTCCCACAGCTGAAGTGGAGACTCCAATGGGCATGGCTCTGCGTGAGACCCTGTGGGGAAAGAAAGATCAGACTGTTACTGTGTCTATATAACGAAAAGAAAGTAGACATTAAGAGACTCCATTTTGTTCTGTATTTGAGATGCTGTTAATCTGTGAACCTACCCCAACCTTCCTTGCAAGAGACATGTGCGTTGGTGACTCAAGGGTTTAAAGGATTTTGGGCCTGTGCGGGGTGTGCTTTTGTTAAACAAGTGCTGAAGGCAGCTTGGCTGGTTAAAAGTCATCACCATTCTCTTTAATCTCAAGTACCCAGGGACACGTACACTGGCCAAAGGTCGCGCAGGGACCTCTGCCCTAGGAAAAGTCTAGGTATTGTCCAAGGTTTTCCCATGTGATAGTCTGAAATATGGCCGTGGGATGGGAAAGCCTGATCGTCCCCAGCCCGACACCCGGTGAAGGGTCTGTGCTGAGGAGGACTAGTGTAAGAGGAAAGAAGGCCTCTGGCCGGTTGTTGCAGTAGTTGAGATAGAGAAAATAGCATCTGTGCTCCTTTGCCCGTCCCTGGGCAATGGAACATCTCGGTGTAAAACCCGATTGTATGTTCTGTTTACTGAGAAAGGAGAAAACCGCCTTAGGGCGAAAGGTGGGACTCGCTAGCAATGCTGCTCTTTATGCACTAAAAAGGTTTATGGAGATGTTCACATATGCATATTAAGGCACAGCACTTTTCCTTAAACTTAAGTCACAGAGATCTTTATTCGTATGTCTCACTG